TTCTTCATATTCAAAAAGGTCAAAAAATAACCAAGCAAAACTATCCTTAGAATTTTTCTTATATTGATTTTTTTTTTGTTTTTTTTTTAAAGTCAGTTGAGAATATGAATCAATAATATCTTCCTGATCAATGTGTTTTGATTTATTTCTAGGAATTGAGTTATTTGAACCAAAACTTGTTGTATCCATTCTTTTAGGTAAACTACTAGCACTAGAGGTTAAAGCCATTATTGTAATGAGACTATTAAATACTAACGCAAAAAAGAGAAAGCAAAAACAAATGGATGAAATAATTGTTTGTAATAATTTTTGTTATAACTTTAGAAGAAGGAAAAATTGAAAATCTAATAACTTTTTATAATTTTAGGTTTTATATAATTGTAAGTTAACACCAATCTGCATGTTATTTAAATATATTCACATGGATATTTGAAATAAAGAATCAATTTTCAAGCTTGTAATTACTTTATTATAAATATGCTAATATAATATAAAATGTGCATTATTTCATAGCTTTTATGGGTGTTATTTTAAATAATGCATACATTTTTGAAGAATTGATTTTTTTTAAAAATAACATTTATTTTTTTTCTTTCAATTATACTATATGATATAACTACAAGGATTTTGCTACTTTCTATTTTTTGAGACTTTGGAGCAATATGACAAGTATAAATATATTGTGTGAGTTCAAAAATTTTTTAACAATATTAACTATTATTGATTTTTTAAATTTAGATGTGCATACATAGCAATGAATATGTAGATTGTGTATGAATCTTAACAATGCTTGACTTGATTAATTATTGTCTAAATTATATAAATGCATAGAAAGAAATATTCTTACTCTTAAGAATTAATCTGTTTCTATGAATTCAAAATAGTTTTTAGATTTTTGATTGCTGTATTGTTGTGAAATAATAGGCATGAGTGTTATTTAGGCAATTGTACTCTATGAAAATAACATAAATGATTTCAAAATAACACCTATACATGTTCCAAATAATACACACCTACTATAAACAATTTGAAAGTTCAGGTTCAGGAAAATTATTTTTTGTTTCAAAATAATGCTCATGTGCATATTCTAAATAATGCATATATATTCAAAATAATGTGCAAGTAGATGTTATTTTATGACAATATGGTATATAACTTTAGTTAATTCTTGTATTTATTTTTATTCTTAACTAAATATAGACCTTATTTAGATTGGCACTTAAGAGTCAATGATCATGTTTATGAATTATGGTAAAATTACCAATATGCATCTTTTTTTATATGCATTTAATCTAGAGCTTGATTGTATGCTAGTAATACTACAAAAATTGATCTTGACTTTCATGAAAAGCCTATTCAAATTAGGATCCAGGTACAAACATAAAAATAATGCACATGCTAGCATCTGCAAAATCCTAATAGTTATGGTAATAGTTATAGTATTTTATGAATAGAGTATGCAAGATCTTATGATAATGCATAGTCAGATATAAAATCATATTATTAAGTTTTAGTAAAGTAAAAGCTTTACAATAGTATATCATTTTTTTATTTTTCTCTTTATATAACAATTATAGTTATAACTAGGGATAGGAAAATTGAATCTGCTACATGGGCCTGCATTATGGCTAATCAGGACCAAAATTAGGAACACAAATTTATGTGATTTAGTGATGACTTGTATTCATTGAGAGCTATTAGTTACACAAAAATTAATATATAATAATTAGTAATTATATAATTTGATATAGCTTGTCAAGAATCATACTAAAACAAAATTGCATAATTTCTGTGTACCTGGCCAAAATTCTGATACATCCTGAAAATTTCTAAGCTTTTGAAACTTTCTATCTATGCAATGTCCTATCTCTAGTTATAACAATTATCTTTCTTTTAATTAGTTATTATAACATGCTATTGCTATAGAGAGCTAAGTTTAGAAGACTATTTATTGTTTTGTATTTAAGTTTTATAAATTAATCTAT